GTTTTTGTTTGTTTGAATGAAACATTAATACTTAAAAGTTATGTTGTAGTGTTCAGACAGGTACATATTTACCTTCTAATTCTTAATGGTGACTATCCTTTATCTTATAATTAAAGCCCCCTCCATTAGTCAGACAATTATATTCATTAGATTTTTGGAGACTTTTAGACATCCTTAGACATTACTATGTTTCTGAGGTGAAAAAATGTAATTTTAGTAAGGGGCATGAAAGTCTCCCTCTGGTCTTGTCTATGCATTATTTGACAAATATTGCCCATTCCATTGGTGTAATTAGTCATCACAACCAGTCCCGGAGGTATCAGGATGAACATGATAGAAAATATCTTTTTATACTCAAAAAGTTTCCATTCTCCTCAAAAGGCTATAAAGTAAAGAAATAAACAGCAAGGACATTTCTGACTTATTTTGGTAACTGTAATACAGAAAGAAACAAGATGATATGATGGAGAAAACTTGGGGATGATGGTAAACATGTTGTTTGACTATCAAGGAAGACCAGTCAGAGGAAAGTCAGCTTGATGAGAAAAAAGTTAGCCAAAATCAAAAGAGAAAGTAGATTCAGATAGAAGGAATAATACCTTCAAGGGACTGGAAATGTGAGCCTGTGATGTTAGAGACAGCAATGAGTCTAGTGTTTGGACGTAATGAAGAGAAGTAGGTGCTAAATCAAGTAGTAACTCGTTGGCCATTGTTAAGTTTCATTTTAAGAGCAAGAAGAAGCACTGCAAGGTGTTACTCCAGAAATCAGAAGATCATGCTAGGTTGAAGCTCTTGCTTCCTTCTTCACTGAAGGCAAAATAACTCCTATAGATTCCTCCTACTATCTATCCATCTATTAGCAGTGCACCCACATAGGCTGTGCCCCCTTCTGTTGCTATAGATTATAAATCTCAATTCCTTCTATGTGCAGTTCTTCCATTTTTGTGCTAGATTAATTCTTTCACATAAATCTCTGGAAAGCTGCAGAAATTCTTTCTTTCATCCATTACCATTTTTTCCCTTTCTTTTGGACCATTTCCCTCACCATACAACAAGCTGTTTCTTTAATTAAAATTATATTTTTAAATCTTAACTCTATGTACACTCTATCTATTGCTTCATTACTCTGCTTTCCCCTATAACAAAACTCCTTGAAAACATTTATATTCATTGTCTTTAATTTCTCTTCTCCCATCCTCTTATAAACACATTAAATCCAGGCTTTGATGCCCACAAGTTTACTGAAACTTTAGTTGCACAATCACCAATGAATACAATATTGCTAAACCCAGTGGTCAAATGTTAATCCTCATCTTCCTTGACCTATAATCCTTGAAAATTTCTTTCATTTGACTTTCAGTAAGCTATAATCTCATTGCTTTTCTCATACCTTACCAGTCACTCTTTGTCTCCCTGGTTGATTTTTGCTTTTATCAATGGCATCCTCATGATGGTCTCATAGGGGTTTTGCTCTTCTACCTCTTCTCTTTTCTAATTACATTTATCCCCCCTTGTGTTCTCAGACTTTAAATACCATCTATAGAATGATGACTTCCCAAATAAATAACAAAGTCCAAGGCTGCTTCTTGTAGTTCTAAACTTATATTTAGATTGCTTAATTAACAATCTTTGCTTGGTTGTCTAACTAACATCTCAATCTTTCAATGTCTAAAATTTGAATTCTTTATCTTCCCTTCCATGTTCTTCCCAAAACACGTTAATAGGTATTTCATTCTTCTCTTTGCTGGGCCCCAAAATCTTGACGTCCACTTTGGCTCCTCTCTCCTTACCTACAAAGCACTAGGAAATCCTTTTAGTTTTGTCTTTGAAACATAGCCAGAATCCAGTTAAGTTTTACTTGATTATTACATCCTCCACTTGATAATATTATAATAATCTCTTTAGCGGGATAAGTTTTTATGCTTTTACTCACTAAGGTCTATATTCCACCAAGCAGCCAGGGTGATGATACTCATGAAGTCTATGTCTGATTGTATAACAGCTTTTTTTAAAATCCTTAAGTGGCTTCTTAAGTAGGATCTCTCACATTAAATCCCCAAATTCTCCAAGGACCTTTAAGGTCCATGTGTTGCTTCATTAGCTCTCTTACTTCTTTCTGCCTCATTTGCCCTGCTTCAGGTACATTGGCCTGTGTTATTCCTCAAGCACTCTAGGCATGGTTCTCCCTCCAAACCTTGGCTATTCCTGTTTCCTCTTCTGGAATGTTCCTCCTCTAGAATTCCCACAGCTTCCCACTCACCCCTTTCAGGTCTTTGCTCAAAATGTCATCTTCTGGATGAGGCTTTCATCAGCTCCTATTGAAAACCACCCCAATGCTCCTGATTCTTCTTACTCTCTTCCAAGTTTTCTGCAGCACTTTTCATATTTTATAGCACCAACATTCTTTTAAATCCTCTTATACATTCATTTTAAAGCCATGGTATCTCCTGAAAAAGGCAAAGTCATTCTTATCCAAAAACTATGCAATACTCTAAATAATCTAGAGAGAAGCCCCAATTATGAATGGAGGTTGTGTCAAGATTTGGTATTTTCTGTTTCAATCCTGGCTTGCCAGTAATTCCAACCCTCTTAGCCTAACATGATACTTAAAATTATACTCATTTGCTCATGCTACTTTTATCCAGTCTAAACTATCATACACATGGGTTCTTCACTTTCCATGAAGAAGATAGCTTGTGACTAATTATGTCAGGAAAATACACCAATCTGTGGCAGATACCTTGTGTGATTTTAGAAGGTAGGCAATCAAAGTCATCTTCAAACATGGAGTTAATAGTGTAAAAGGGAGCAGAGCAGTCTGTGATAAAGCAACACTGATGTGATACTATGATGATGTATTTTTGACCACCAGCTTGACATAACTAAATGGCAGATGATCGTGGTCACATCTACAAGCAAATATCAGCCCTTTGAATAGGGTGACTTCTTTACCAGGACAAGATGCCTAACCCCAAAGGGTTCACTGGTCAACATACTTGTAGTATTCTGTGACAGTTGCAGCTGAGCAAGGCACTCTGATATGGCTAAGAGATATTCCAGAGTCACTCAGAATTGGCCACAAGGAATACAATTTCTGGATACTATAGAATTCTTCAGGCTCTATGCCCTGCTTGGATTTGCTCCTGAAATGACTTAGTGAAATCCCAGGGAATACAGGGAATTCAGGCATGTGGAAGAGATGAGAGGGAGAATAACCACCAAGTTCCTGCACATTGGTGGGAGAAGAAGGGGACAGGGGAATGTGAACATACTGTGGAACATCATAGCAGCATTTTATAATTATAGCCGAGATTGGCTCTGCTAGTAAGACTTGTTCTTGCATGAAGTTTTCGTGTAGTAAATAATAGTTTTCTCTCATGGTTTCATCAGAGTTCATTGCTCATGTTTTTTAACTCTGTAATTTTCATTGAATGTTGATGTAAGTGAAGGCAGCAGTTCTGGCTCATTCATGTACACAGGGTGCAGTTATTACTGTCATCTCTCAGCAGTCCTGGCAATGCCACACTACTTTACCACCAATTTCAAAGTGTCTTTGCAATGTATCTTCTGATCACTCTGGTTGGACAACATTGGACACCTCTAGGGTAGAAGTTGGAAAGAAAGCAAGATATAATCAAAAGCACCAGAAATCTCTCCTTAGTGAACAATGCTTGTTCTAGGGTAGCTTTCGTACTGTAAAATTATTATTTCATCTTTCTTTTGGTAATCTACATGTTTAACCAATTGATTGTCCTTTGCATGAAAATCAAAGTATTCTTTTTCTAGTTAACTTTTGCTATCAAAATCTATTTGCCTGAATTAGGTTGCATTTCATTAATCTTTTAAACATGAAATTGTAATGGTTCAAGGTTAATGAGATTTAAGAATATGTATTACTTAAGTTGTGACTTATTTCAAAGATGTTCAAGAAAATAAAGATTATTTTTGTCATGGGAAAGTCTGTATGATGTTCAAAGCTCGATTAACCTCACTGAGCTTTGGTTAGCTTACTGAATGCCCTCATGAGTGAAGGGTATTCTAGAATTGAATTAAGAAATTACTGATCAGTGTATTCTAATGCAAAAGATATGGTATCCAACAGAAAGGTAAACAGGTATAATGTACCTGGGGAAACAAGAGATTATTTCTATCTAGGGTACTATTCTACCTTTTTATGGTCATATTTCATACCTAGCTCAATTTTATTTAGATCATCTCATTCATTAATTTTTTTATCCATTGATTCAAATATATATAATCAAAATTTAACAGTATACCAGGCATTGTATTAGCCATGGAGGATGCAAAATGAGTAGTGTACCAATCCTTCTCTGAAGAGGTTCAGTACATTGGATCAGATACCCATGTAAACAAGTAATGATGGCACAATGGTATGTCACACAAAGTACTGTGGGAGACAGAGGAGAGGATGGTAGCTCCACCTTGTTCCAGGGTGACAGCAGGGAGTATTAGGGACAGGTTAAGAAAGAAGCAGGCATTTTTACTGAACCTGTACAATTTGAAGGTCAAATAATACTTGGTCAGGTACACAGGAGAAGAAAGAAATCTGGTAAAGGAATTGCAAACTCAAAGTCATTGTTAGAGGCTATATATTTGCATTTCAAAAGCAACTCTTGTTGTCTTCAAATATGCTTTAAAATAATTTAAATATCTCATTTATTTTTAACAGAGTCTTTGAACTAAGACTAAACCCAGAAAATGATTTTCTTGATCATAGGTATTCAAGAAAAAAAACAGTCAAATTGTTAAAATGTGAAAGTCAAACCAAGAGTTTGACTGACACATGTCTATTTAAATATAAGCACAGTATATATAAAGAATAAAACACCTTCAATTTTGTTGCTGTTGATTTTTATGGCTATTGATTCTCATGTTAAGCTTATTTTAACAGTTCTCAGAGGTAGGAATGTATAGGAGGAATGAGATCCTGAGTAAAAAGTATGATGCTAAATAAATTCTTCTTTCTTCTTTTCCCCTAGGTTTAGGGGTATTTACACCCCACCAGTTTATACTCGGTGTGTGCACAAATGTGGGATGTACAAACAGCTCCCAGTCTACACTGTATACAGCACAGCAACTACCAGAACAAGTGGATTCCCCAATTTTGACTGTCCTGGATTCCAGAACTATATATGTACAGTAAGTAGAAATGTCTCTGTCAAAAGCTGGTTCACTCAAGAATCCCAGTGAGTTCAATCAAGGGAAGGACTTGTGACATAAAATTAATTTTATTGTGATTAAATGCATAGAAATGATTAGATCAGTGGTTCTGGGAACCTTTGATTATCACTTGCCAACTTAATTTCCATTTTGTCTTTATGCAATCAGGCTGAGCTACATAGGTACACAGATTTCTGCACACACTTCACAGAAAAACTGACCACTTACAGGTCTACCTTCAGTTTTTTATACATGGAGCATTTTTTCTGATGATTTGACATTGGAAATATATAATTTTTTTAGTGTAAAACAGGACCTTCTTATTTCCACATTCCCATATAGTTAAAGTAAGGAAACTGACATATGAGCATGTCCAGATGGTTTCATATTAGTGATTCTTGTCCATTTCCTAATATATATAAGGGATGTCATAGTACTGCACTAAAATCCTAAAGTCCTTGCTTACCACCAATTAATGTGTATTCACATGTACATCTCTTGATTCAAGCTTTCTTGTTTGTAAAATAAAACTTGTCTCTGAATAAATTATGACATTCATTCAAGCTGAAAATTGTGACTCATACCCCATCATTCCATGTCGAAACTTTTACTGGCTTTCAGTCGCCCTTAAGCCCAAAAGATCTCCCACTCTGAGTATTTCTCACTTGACCTATTTCCTGTCTATCTTGTGATTTCCCTTCTCATTCTCCCTGATACACAGTAGCCGTCATCTGGAATACTGTTTACTCCTCTTTCAACCTATCCAAATTTGATAATTTGTCCTGAAAATTTCAGCAATTTGACATAGAGTTGATGTGTAACTACATTGTATTGTGTGTTTTTAGAAATTAATCTGTTCTGAGCATTTTGCGTGTGTGTGTGTGTGTGTCTACAGTGGCACAAATCCAAGTTCATATGTCTTTTGAAAATTCTGTGTATTTCAATTTTGACCTGAATGAATGATAAAAATGCTATATTTTTCCATTTGTAGATGGAAACAACCAAAAAAATCAAATGGAATTCTGGAATGCTATGTATTATATATTTTGAATCATACTCATGATTTTGTAATTTGGAATGTTATCCATAACAGTACCGAACCCTTCCGGGATCACACACTACCATACTTGTTCCCGGGTAATAAATATCTCATCAAGCTGGGAGTAAGTTCATCTTCTTTCTGTTACTTTCTCTGTCCCCATTCTTTCCCTTCCTTTGGTCCATCCAAAACTCTCATGTATTGATATTTTTACTGAAAATTGGCTTCAAATTTTAAATGTGAAGTCTGCCTATCCAATACCTGCATATTTATTTTATATTATACAAAATGATAAGTAATCATTTGAATCACTAGATTTTCCCAAGTCTAACTTGAGATTATCAGAAATTATTTTTAATTATTTGTAGAACATCATAATTGTTGACAGTTTTTTCTAAAATGCTTAGATTAGCAAGGTTCTTGACCTGGGGAGCTTGTATTCACTGAAAACAATGCACAGTAGGAAGATTTAGGTCTTGTATTTTTAAATGAAGGTTCAAATGACCCCCAAATATTCTTGATTGTTATTATACTGTGGTTTATATTGCACTCTTATCTTAGAAGAGCAGTCACTTAATAAAATCCCAGAATCAACATGGTTTAGAGGTTTCTTTAAGTAGACAATAGCATTTTTAATGCAAAATAGCACTTTTTAAACAAAGGTCTTTTGAAAGACCTTGATATTACAGTGGAATTTATACTCAGTGGTTCTTGTTGTTTTTTTGATGAAATATAATCTTTTTTAAGTTTAATAGCACATCTGAAAATAACTGAATATAAACATGAGATTGTCCCTATTTGTTTTAAACACACTCTTCATTTTATAGCAATACCTATATAAGGATATTTGCTTTGATAAATGCCATAGAAAATATTCTGCTCTTGATTATGAATAAATTTACATTTATGTAGACACTGTGTATGCATTCATTTTACTTAACATGCTCTTGAATGCTCTAAATATTATACCACGAGAAAATAAACTACATTCAACTATTGCTGTGTGACTTGACACAAAAACAAGGGCAATCAGACAATGTTAAAATCCTGTTTGAAATGACTACATGTGCCTAGGTGCTCAGCACAACAGATAGATTTATGAAACAATAGTTTTGGTTACTTACAGTTGTATTACTGAAGAAACAAGAAGTACTAACTTGATTTTCTAAAGCTCATACACAACTCCAGGCTTATTTTCAAAGTAAGGATAATAGCAAAATCAAGAGAGGTATCGATCAGTTGGAAGCAACCAAATTAAACAGAAATTGGGATTTTCATGATTTTTATCAGAAGGAGGCAAATAGCATGAAAAATTTTACTCTCGAGGCAATTTTTAGGATATGCCATGCAGTTAATTAACTCTATTTCAATATTCTATAGTTTATAATGTGGTAATACCTTGAAAAATAAGTACCACCAACCTCCTAGTCTGCTTTCTGAGTTTTAATTCAGATTTTCCACTAACTGTTTAATTTAAGGCAAATTCACTTATCCCCAGAGTTTTACTTTCTTTAGGCCTAAAATTAGAACATTGAACTAAATGATTCTAAATTTTATGATGCTAAAAACATAATCCCAAACAATAGTCTATGGAATCAAACCATATCTGTCAGCCACTGAGTAATGCTGATACCAGAAGTCATAAAGATGTGGCAGACTTTGCCCTAACACTTGTTAGGGAAATAAACTTGTTCACATTATTTTCAATTCATTAGGGCAGAAAATACCATAATGTATATTCAGGAAGTATTTAACCCTGTTAAGCAGTAAATTAAATGAACCAGAACATTTTAGGTATATCCTGGTTAATTGAGGGATTGTTGTATATTTAATATACAATTATTGTATATTTAATAACTAGCTTTCAAGGTCATTAGATTAATAGACAGAGACCAGGTTCCTAGCCTTTATAGATTGTCTGAGCTTGTTGACTAAGTGCTAGAAGACAAATTGTACAGATAACAAAGACTTTAAGCAGTTTTTGGCATAGAGGGAGACACATGTGAGATTTGAAGCACTATGTTTTGCTCCAAGCTTGGAGCAGCAATGTTGCTTGATGTAACTTTATTTACTCTATGCATTTGACTGGATTATAAAATTCTGCAACATAGAGACTGTATCTTTCAATATTTTATGTGCAGGTTCAAGGAAATACATGGTGGAAACTGGATGTTTAGCAAATAATTGTGTATGAATGAATGAATGGATGACCACCAAATACAGTTATTTCATAAAGAATGAGACTTTGACCACGTGTCTCACAGCTGTAATCCTTGCTACTCTAGAGACAGAGATCAGGAGGATCATATTTGGAGGTGGATGAAAAATTTAGTGAGATCCCATCTCAACTAATTTCTAAGGGTAGTGGGATGCTCCTGTCATTCCAGCTACATAGGAAGTGTAAATAGGAATCTGAGACTTTTGATATAATCAGATATTTTGCTAAAATACCTGAGAGTTGGGGATTGTGTGACTGAAAGCATGTGCTTTGTTCACTGTAGGAAATAGTATAACATGTTGCTGCCCTCAACAAAGGTTTATTTTGAAGTATGACAAAGTGTGATAGCTCCTAATAAAGATAATAAGGTAACAATTAAGTAAATAAACTATTAATACAAACAGGTCTCAAGGGAGGTGTTGTTTGATCATTTTTATGTTGCTGGCAGTCATTTGTCACTTGGTTTGATTGTTGGAAATGATAAGCTTGACTTTTCAAGAAAAGGTCATTATGACCTTGTCCCTTTTCTTCATGCTTTAAGACAGAGTGCAGTCTTCACACCTTGGATCCTATCTATATGAAAACGAATTATTGAAATAGAAAATGCTAGTTTGGGATTTTCCTAACATTATGATTTCAAAGTTAATTGATGTAGTTTTATTATTTTTACATTTTATTGTACCAAAATGGAGTTCCCTTTTTGGTCAGATGCTATTTATCATTTCAGGGTGGTGTTATGACATGAATTTTGGTTTTAAAAGACTATATAATTCAATAAAAGCTATAGGAAATAGATCAAAACATTTTATTTTAGTATTTTACACGTTTTTGAAGATCCTTCCATTTCATAAAGGCATCTTTAATTAATCTCACTATTTTGTTTAGTTTTTCCAAATTGAAATTTTAATCAGCATTTATTTTCATCGAATGCAGTGGTCTCAGGTACAGGCAGATACCTCAAGCAAGATACTGACTGATTCAATTCCATGTAGATTTTGTCTTAGAATAGACCAATCAGAAGTAACTTTAAGAACAGTCCCTCTAAATCCATGCAATGAGAATATGGGCATGAAGGGAACAAAGAGAGAGGGAAAGAGGAAAAGAGAAGAGGATGGGAGAGGAGAGGGGAGGGGAGGGGAGAGGGGAGGAGAGGAGGAAAGAAGAGGGGAGAAGAGAGGAGAGGAAAGGAAAGGCTAGGAGACGAGAGGAGAGGAGAGGAGTAGAGAAAAATTGCATTGTGTTTCTGTTATTTCAGCAGCCTCTAGGTACATTGCTTCATTTGCTGGAAAAACTCCCATAAATTCTTTTGATTCTTGAGAGGCTTCTTTGTCAAGTTGCTAGTTTACAGGTCTCAGATGACCCAGTTCAAAGATCAGTCCTCCCAAAGAGCATTGTTTTCATTTATCTTTGAAAATACCATAAAATTCTCAGAACAAAGTAAATTTTAGGTCACATTCTGTTTACAGAAATACAAAATTATATGCAATATAGTACAGTATTTCATTGGGAAGAGCTAGCAAGGAAAAGTTTTATTAAATGAAAGGAAAACCAAACAATCAAATGAGTGACAATCTGAATTGAATTTTGCGGTGCTATCAGTTTAACAATGAGATGCTGCAACATTTTTTTGCCCTAAGGAAAAAAAAAACCTGGAAAATGCAAGTAAATGCATTTCCTCTGTCTCTGAAGCCTGGACAGAATGTTCCACATTTCCTTTGATAACTCAGATAGGTCATACGGCATCTTTTTTCTACCATATTTTCTGGTACTCTTGTAATGAGTGTAACATTACACTTAAGTTTTTTTTTTTTTTTCCCTGTTTTAATTTCAGGTAGCTATTTCTTGGTTGTCAGTAGAATTTCCTAGAACTTTGAGTCAGGGTTTGGCCACATGGTCAACTGTTTTTTCCTTTATCTGCAAAGATTTCATTCTTAGAAGGAATAGCTTTTTTTCTCTTACATATATAAACACATTCCATAGCTGAAAATCAGAGGAAACCTACAGGGGTTAATTATGCCCCAATTTTAATGCAATTTCATGCCCAAACCACAATTTCATTCATCTGAAACTTGCTTAAGCTGATGAGAAATTATCCTGAAGACATGGGCTACTGCCCTATTCTTACAACGGGGAGTGTGTATGACTATAAATTGTTGACCACAAATTTTTATTTATAATTACAGTGAAGCATTTGCAACTAGTTACAACTTAGCAAACAAACAAACAAACAAACAAACAAAAAACCCACAATAGTGTAAGAAAATATCTAAAAACCAGTCAGCCTCCTCCTATTCTTTAGGGAAAAGAATATTGACTGCTTTAAGTATCAGAAAATCATTCTCCCAATATGTAACTGAAAAGCACCAGACAGACTGAAAGAAATAAAGAGGTACTTAAGTTTTTTATATTACTAATATCTTTTTTCCATGAAAATGGAGTAAAGAACTGTCTGCTTTTTACATCATCCTATGATTTTGCTTCAATTTCTTATTGATTTTCATAAAATTTAGTGCTTTGAAAAGGATTTTTAATTTTCATTGTATAAACTGCAGTTGTAACCTGAAGAGATACTGAACAAAGCTTAGGTGTAGCTTTTCAATATCATTATTGTTTAAGGATCTAATTGCTAATATTTGCTACAGCTGTAAACTGGGAAAATCCTGTATATATATCTATGCATCAATTTCCTGAAGAAATGTTTGTCCAGTAAGTTTAAGAATAATTTACAGTTCATTATAAAACTGAACACAGAAGTTTAGGATGTCTCTAATACTCATGTTACAATTTCTGGCATTAGCAATACTTTATTAGGGAACAGGGGTTCTGTGACCATTTAAGATTGCCAAACATATTTTAATGAAGCCCATCTCCTCTGGCACATAAGTAAATTATTTGATCATTAAGCATTCAGTTCAAAAGTTTTTATTGAATAATAAATATTATTTTATTTAATTTCACATGGTATTGAAATATAAACATATAGGTCATGCTATATGACTAAAAAAAGCAAACACTGTATGCACATATGAATAAACGGAAAAAAAAAAAAGCAATTACAATTGCCATAGTTCTCATAACCCCCAGAAATAGCTACCTGAAATTAAAACAGGGAAAAAAAAAAAACTTAAGTGTAATGTTACACTCATTACAAGAGTACCAGAAAATATGGTAGAAAAAAGATGCCGTATGACCTATCTGAGTTATCAAAGGAAATGTGGAACATTCTGTCCAGGCTTCAGAGACAGAGGAAATGCATTTACTTGCATTTTCCAGGATAGTTCTTTAAGTCATGTATTCTGGGTTATTTTCTTTTAGGAAATGACTATTTCACATCCTATAAAGGAATCTAATTAAATGTCAGGCTTCAGCATCGAAATACATTTGTTTTGAGGGGTAAAAGGAACATTATTTAAAAGAATCTACAACTTTTATTATGAATTCTCTTTCTTCCATGCTAAACTTTGAGGTGCCAGAGTGAAATGTGCTTTCTTGCATGTCTGTTTAGGTTTGCACAGGGGGCGGGTGCACAGTGAGGGAGGCCACCCAGGCCCAAACCGAGGAGACTATCCCAGAAGGTGAGCCAGCCCCCAAAACCTGTTCCTATTTACCTGACTCCTTTAACATCTCCTGGACTGAACCTGAATATCTGAATGGTAAGTGAACTCTTTTAGCCTCAAGATAAAAAGATGATTAGCAAAGGTAAATTAATATTCTAAATGGCAGCTTATATGTGGTGCTTAATTTTTAATGATCATTTTAGCACATAAAATACCTGAGATAGTATCATTGTCTATAGTTGGGGAGATTGTGGCTTTTCAGCTGACACAGTTTTGGTGGCTCAAAAGTGCTCCCTTTTGATAGTTCTTGTGTACTGCATCTTACTGTTTAATGTGCTCCAGAAGAGGTGAAAAGAACAAACGAGGATTCCCAAAGAATGCTGCTTTGAGAGTGTCATTGTATTTTCAATGACTTTCGGTTTTTAACAGCCATCAGTTCTTCCTTGGAGAAGTACAGAGGTGGAAGATCATGTACATATTGTATTTCAAAATGCTTTTGATTTAATAAGTTTATCTTTAAAAAGGACACTTGGAACTCTGTATTCTTTAATATGCTATTTATAAATATTTCAACATGCGGTTTTTAAACAATGCATGCATTAAACATACATACATTTACACCTATTTAGCTTAAAGTGTATTGTGTGTATTTCCATGTGTTATATACATCCTTGTACAATTTAGAGGATTAAACTAGCCAGTTAAAATTCACCATAATAAAACCTCATTATAAAGAATTTTTAATATATTTTGGGTAGAAATTGCTTTTTTCAGTTATGGGAAGTATCTTTAAGATTCACACAACACAGGGCCATTGTTTCATGCCAATAGGCGCTTATGGGACACCAAATTTATCCCTTTTTAAAGCCAATATCAAGAAGAATTAATATCATAGAAACTGTTTTAAGTAAGTCATTACCGAAAATTGAAATGTTCTCTTTTAGGTTAATCAGAAAGAATGAAAGAAAAAAATTGAAGTTTTATTAGTTTGTCTTATGTTTACTCTGATATTAATTATTCCAATTCTCTCATTTTAATTAAACTTTTGGCAGGCAGTAGATATATTTGAGATAATAGAGAGTTCCAACAATTAGAGTGAGTGATTATCTCTGCTATTGAAGTTATTCCTGTACTATTACAAATTTCCTAATAAAAAATAAATGGATCTCTACACGACATTATATTAAGCAGTGGAAAATCTTGTCACACTTCGTACTCCACAAAGAAATCTAGTCCATAGGTGGCAATGAAAATGTTAATGGTTTGTTCTGATTGGATTGCTGTTAAATGCTGTTACATGATTTGCATAGTTAGAATGCTTCCTTTCATCCCAGTTGGAAATTGTAACTGAAACTACAGTTGTCTTGAAATCCTTGGTTATCTAGAGCAATACTTTCCACATTTTAAAGGTCTTTGCTTATTGTGCTTTGCACATTTGCAAAACATTGTTTAAGTCTACTCAATGAGCAAGAAGAAATGGGCCACTTTTTGCTCACACTTTCATGCTAGTTTAAAGGCTTGTACTTACTGTAGCAGAATTTTCAATATTTCTATAATGAAACTGATAGTAAAGTTTATAGGAAAGAAGTACCCTTTCTTTTTTCAGTTGGAAATCATAATCTGTAAAAAATTTACTAGCATGTATTAGTTGTATAAGGGGTTTCATTGTGATTTTCCATATATGCTTACAATCCACCTTAGTTAGGTTCATCCCCACCATCATAATTCTTCATCCCTCTCTCCCCACTTAGAATGATATTTACACACTTCAGTGTTTTGTACACATATATAAAGTACATTGACCATATTCTCCCTCTTTTACCCTCTCCACTTATTTATTTATTTGGTAGAAGTTGGGTTTGAACTTGGAACTTTTCATTTACAAAACAGGTGCTTACTACTTGAGCCACAACTCCAGTCCATTTTGCTCTGGTTATTTTGGAGATGGGCTCTCACAAACTATTTGTCTGGGCTGGCCTCAAGCCAGGAACCTCTTGATTTTAGCCTCCCAACTTGCTAGGATTACAGGTGTGAGCCATTGATGCCTAGCAGGAATTTTCAATATTTTTTGTAAGGCAATGGTTAGACACGAAAAAACAGTTGTCATTAAAAAAGAAACTATGCTATTTTCTCCAAATTTTCCATTATTTCATTTTTATTGTTGACTTTCTGGTTAAGGGTAATCTGGTTTCTGGAAAACCTCTCATTCTGTGTCAGTTTTCAAAGTTTCTACAGTTTCCTTCAATGACCTGAGTAACAAAGTCCAAATTTACAGTCTGGTATTCAGATAACTCTCAACCTGTAACTCAAACTGCAGTCACACCACTTTGTAACACATCTTCCTTTGTAACCACCCTGGAATATTTATTTATGGCTTAATGTATTGTTGAATGACAGAGGCATGGAATCAAACATGCCTAGAGTCAAAAAATTGTCTCTGAAATAAAATTACTAAATTATCTGAGAAATTTGCTAAATTCCACAATTTGAGATTCATAATCCCTACTATCATCTTCCCATCTTTGCCACAACAAATCTGAGTCATTCTTCTAGGATAACCATAGGTCTCTTATTCTATAAAATTACCCCACCCTTCCTTGAGTTTAAGTTAAGCCTTCACACTTTTCTTGACTATATAGCCTGCTTCTGTGCCTTCTTAGTGTTACTTACTTCCTTCAGCTCAGGCTTAAAGTTATTTTTGTACATGTCCAGTATTCAAACTAGATGATTAAGAACATGAAGCTTTCATTTCTTTCCTTTTCACAGTCTAACACCACATTGTATCTTTATCAGTGCCCAATATTTAATTCATTGTTTCTTGTAAAAGTTGCCTTTATAGACTTCATCTTTATGGTCCCAAACAAATCTTTTCAAATAATTCTAAGTTCTGTCTCTCAAACTTTCCTGGTTATTGGAACCATCTTGGTGACAATTGATTTAAAAAGAATGGGGAGGAGGGGGGAATAAAAGAGAATGATAGAGGAAGTGAATTTAACCATGATATATTGTAAGAACTTTGGTAAATGTTACAATGTGCTCCCAGTGCAAAAAATAATTTTTAAAATATTTTAAAAAGAAGTAGAATGTAGAGTTCCACCACCGGTTTTCTAATTAATGAGCATCTCCCACTGCCTTGCTTATCACCAAAATCCTGATGAGCATTTGGCGCACTGTCCAGATGAAACTTCTCTCAGGGGCTCCTTCTGAAGACCCCTACATAGATTTCTATTACATCTGAAAGTCGGCATGTCTAAGTTGAGTTCTCATCATGGCCTCTGCTACTGTATCTGGTGTTTCTCCTGTGTTCCCTCTCTCACTAATGAGCACAACCCAGTTACGCCAGCCAGAAACCTTGACCTTGATCCTGATCACTCATCACTTTTCTCCTCTCAAACCCCACTGTACCCTTTAGTGCAGGCTGCTCATTTGACTTACCTAGATAACTTCAGGGGCCTCCTTATGTCTTGAAAATTTTGAATTTGTTGTATATATACAAGGGCATCAATCTTGTGATATATATGCATGTGTATATATATATGATATCAAGAGGAATTCACCCAATACTTGATCTCAAGGGTATCAAAAGCCTTTGGGGAACATAGCCATGTAAACAAATAATCACAAGGTAGAGATGGGCAGAAGTGCCAAGTGCAGTTTTCTGAGGAAACCTACAGGATGTGGGACTCTTGCATCTGCATCTTCATCCATATGTAGCAGGTCCAGTGACTTATATGCTTTTAGTCTGAAATAATCAGTAACAGGTGCTGCTTGCCTGCTTTGTATACTCACACTCCAGAATCTTGACTCTGTTAGTCAATGAGTCAATTATGTGCTTCAATGAATTTTTTTTCAACTAGGACTCCATCCACATGAGAGATTTGTTGATAAAAATTCCAGTAATGAGAACTAGGTAATTTTCTATGCTTGCCTATGTGTGACAAAATGTGAAAAATATAAAATGGTTCTAATGTAAATGTCCAATTCTTGCCCTTGAAGCAGTGGGTATTCTTTACCTACCACGGCTTTGGAGACATACTCTTTTTTTGTAACTGATTCTGATTTAACTAAATAACTATGACCATTTAAGTCTAGTGACCATCCTTATCCAACGTGCTAAGATAATGGCTTACATCTTTATGGCTTTGACTCTTAAAGAAGGCAGATAAAGTCTACAAACCTGCTTTGCTCCACATTGTCTGAGGTGGGGTTCTTGTTCTTTAGGTCGTGACATGCTTCATGTATCCAAGAATAATGCTTGACACATAAAAGGGCTCAGTTAATATTTTGTTAATTATTGCTATGCAAAATGCAGGAAGTAGCAAGTTCTGGGGAAATTTTGGAGAAATCAGAGTCCTTATGAACTGTGGGTGGGAATGTCAAATGGTGTAGCTACTGGGGAAAACAGTATGAAGGTAGGTTCCTCAAAAACTATAAAATAGAATTGACATATAATCCAGAAATTCCACTTCTTAGAATGTATCCCAAAAACTGCAAATGGGATATCAAAGTGATATTTGCAAATATGTTCACTGTAGCATTATGTATAGTAGCTAAGAGGTGGCAAACAGAATGTCTATGGACAGATAAATAAACAAAATATTATGTATACATATAGTATAATATTATTTAGCCTTCAAAAGAAGGAAATCCTGTCCTATACAGCACCACAGATAAAACTTGAGAACATCATGATAAATGAAATAAAGCAGTCACAAAAAGACATACACTTTCCAACTCCACTTATATGAAGTATCTTCAATAGTCAAACACATGGAAAAGCATGTAGAATTAGTTACCAAGGCCTGGGTGGAAGGTGGAAGTAGAGAGAGTCTGCTCAGTCCTGGAGATCTGTTTCACTAAGTATGCATGCAGAGAGCACTCCTGTATTCTATACTCAAAAATAGTTAGGATGGTAAATGTTATTTATAAGTAAAATTCAGAAAAACAATTAAGAACTATGTTACACAACAAGGGGATTGGACTTTGAGCACATGATAAAAGCGAGAGCACACAAGGGAGGGGTGAGGATAGGTAAGACACCTAAAAAATTAGCTAGCATTTGTTGCTCTTAACGCAGAGAAACTAAAGCAGATACC